ACCAGCTGGCTGGGATGCTGGCATGGTTGCCTGTTAGGGGGGGGTCTGTGCTGGTTAGCCTACCTCCTTCAGCAGGATGAGGGGGGAACTGAGCGCTCCCTCATTGGGGTGAGTGTGTGTGTGCTGTTTCTGCCCGGCAGCAGCTGTGCCTCTTAAGTGGCTTCACATCTTAGAGCAGGGGTACACAACTTTTTCTGGGCCAAGAGCCAAATTTGGTCTTTAAGTGGTACGCCAGAGATCGCTCTCTAAAAAGTAAGAGAAACTGAGCACAAACCCTGCATTTTATTGACATCTGAATTAATACACATGACATACTTCACACTTATCCCCTTTTGTCACATTAAAATTTACAATTTGGTAACAACCTTTTGCAGAAGCTCTAAAAGACACATTTAAAGTTTGGGAGGTCCACATGGGACCCTTGGAATCTACACAGCCAAGTACTTCAGGGCATAAACGCACAATATGCTAATTTAAAATAATCTGCATTACCAGTATAATAAAAACCAAATTGTCAGCTGAAAACATTTTTCACTGACAGGGAGGCATATAAAAAAAAAGACACATTGTATACTAACTATACTAACCTTCGTCGAGCATGACTGGAAAGCTTTGTTGCACTGTCATCAAGCGCTGCAAGAAAAAAACAAACTACATTTCAAGAGGGGGAAACCTTTGTAGGAAATACAAAAACCTTTATGGCATTTAAATATCAACATGTTTCTCATGGTATAAACTTTTGTAGATAACGTACCACTCACAAAGTTTTCAAACACTTATGGGAAAGCTGAATTTGACAGAACAGAGAGGCGTGACCTATGATGCCAACAAAGCGGTGACATTTTTAAAGTTGTCAAACTACAGAATGCACATTTATGGAAAAATAGAACAAAAAGATCTTTCTGGCCTCAAGCCCTCCACACAAAATTGGAAATGTCTGCTGAAGTCTTAAGATATTCTTTTGCCTTGTGTCTCTTCTGTTTTTATTTTCAAAATATTGGGGCCTTTTTCACCTCCATAATGAAGGATATATGGCATTTTCAGTTTGATGCAGTTGTCACTTAACTGATTAAATACTGTAAATTGATTTCCATGAAGCTACAAATGTGACATATTTTTATTTTAATATGCCATTTACTAGTAAAGGTAAAAACTAGAGAACTGCCCCAAAGTTCATGAATACATCAAATAGTACAATTTTATAGTGAGAAAATGAAGCATCTTGCTACTGATTCAGTAAGGTATGATTTTGGTAAACAGTATAGTTCAATTTCCATACCTCTCCTCTCCTCAGCAAAAAATTAAATATATATACACATACAACAGAGAACAACACACTTTCCCTCATAACTTCAATATTTTTGAATTGTCTGTTTCTCTTTTTACTTTAACAAAAAATAAGGGCTGTCGTTCAAGAGAATTCTGGTTCCACACAACATTCAAAGGAAAATAAGTAGGAAGCTTACCTAATTCCCAACTGAAACATGTCATCAAAAGTTTTCAAGTATTAAAAACAGCTTTAGAATTCTTGCCTGGAAGGTAAACCAGGTAAATCATTGCTGGTCTACATGAAATGTGGTCTTTGAAGTTTAGTGACTTGCCCAAAGCCACTCACCCATTTGAGATCTGAGATTTGAACACAGCATCTCCTTAACACATATGGGGCAACACCAAGAACATGAACCAGACCTCAGACTAAACATACCCAACAGGTAAAACTCTGCATACTTAGTCACTGAATCAGAGACAGGAAGAAAGTTATCATGAAATTGCCTCACTGGCAGAGTGCAAGCCAATGTTCAGGAGTGGCATCACAGCAAAAGAGGCTGTGCTTCATGTGCTGCAATATGCCAGCCTCCAAAAAAATCATCCAGCTTAAATTTCACTTCAGGTACATTCTTAAAAACCAGAGGCCAGAGGAAAGAACTGAAGTCTACTTTGTCTGATCCTCACTATGTGCTCAGCCCTGGGAGAAAAATCAGGAGTCTAGTAGCAATTTTTCCAACTAATAACTTTTAGTGAAAGCATAAGCTTTTGTGAGCTGTAGATCACTTCATCCTATGCATAGAGTGGCTAAGCTGATGTAGGATTTAAATCTGGGTGAGGCGGGGGGGGGAGGGGAATGATGAAACAGGTTAGTTATGCAAATGTGAGACAGATTACAAGTATCTTATAAATTGACAATTGTAGTGTGATGAAAACCATTGTTGCAATTGTCTGAGATAGCCAGAAACCTTTGGATGTACACAAGTTCAGCAATTTCTCTCTCAATGATGATGTTAAAGTCTTGTCTTTTCCAGAGCAGTCACTTTGAGAGCTGCTACAGAATGTCCTAGGAGGCTGAGGTGCCTTGACATTACCCTGTCCTTGTTTTGAGCCCTGATGTCAAAGGCGTGCCCATTAATTCTTAGACATCAGGACTCAAAACAAGGACAAATTAATATCAGGGCATCTCAGCCTCCCAGGACGCTCTACAGCAGATCTCAAAACGACTACTTTGGACAAGCGGGACTTTGAACGTCCGAGAAATCTCAGAAGTTTTCAACACAATGTTTTAACACAATACAATTGTTAATCAATAAGGTGCTTATAATCTGTCTCACGTGTAACCTGATCTGCATAACCAACCTATCTTCCCCTCCCAGGTTAAGTCCTACACCAGCCTAGCCACTCCACGCATGCTGAAGTGAGCTGCACTTCAGGAAAGCTTATGCCTTTGAATACAAGTGGTTAGTCGGAAAAGGCGCCTACCAGATTCCTGATTCTTTGCCACCCTAGGCTAACGCGGCTCTCCGACACGAAGTCCCGGGAGAGTGACTTACTGGGAGGCAAAAAGCGGGCGAGCTCCACCTCCGCTCCGCGCTGCTTGCGGGCTTTTCGACCTGGGCCCCGCTTCGCCGGCCTGTTCGGGTCCAACTTGCGCCCCATGGCCTAGGCCTCCGCTTCGACGTGGAGTCCGACACGTGGGTAGGCTCCGCCCCTCCGTGAGCATTCTCACTTCCTTCCTCTTTCGGAGAAATCTCATTGGTCGTTCCTTTCTCCCCGCCCCTTACCTTTGCGGCCTTGTGATTGGTTAGGTAGTTGCCGCTTTCTTTGATTCATACACTTGCCAATAGGACGGTTCGGAATACTTTCGCGGAACTCCTGGCCTCTTCCCTTCCCTTTTCTCCTACGGCAAGGGTGGCTGATCCGCAGAAGTGAACAGAAAAAAAAATCAAAAGGGGGATCTGCGTTATCTACCCGGCCACAAGAGTTTACGCTGTCCATCACCTTCTATTTCATGCAGAAAACCACAGTGGTTTTACGAACCCAGTTACAAAGGGAAGAGCCGCTTAATCGTCGGTGCACGCTTTCTTTTCGGGAGGCGTGCTTCTGCTCAGTCCCAGCTACCACCAAAACGTGAATGTTTCCCTTTATTTCCAACAGAGCTCACGCTTCCACCCCGAAGGACAAAAGACGCCGAAAGCGGAAATACGAACCCCCTCGTTTCAACAATTTCTTTATGCCTACAGCCCCTCGCTTCCGCACAGCGCTGCTAGTTCTCCATCAGAGAGCTGCTGCTGCTGTTTTGCTTATTCCCACGAGTGCTTTACTCGTGCTCTCTTCAGATGGGATCTGAAATGTTTTCTCCGTTAAAAGATGCAATGTGTATTAGATATCCTTTCTTGGTCTTTTACCAGCCGGGCGGATTTGATCTCCGGAAAATAATTTCTCAAAAGAAATTTGTTAAGACAAAAACCAGAGTTCTGCACCTAGGGTTATGAGCTCAGTGTTAACTCGGTGTTTCTCAACCTTGGCCGCTTTAGGATGTGTGCACTTCAGCTCCCAGAATTAGTTATGCCCAAATTGATAAACACTGGCATAACTAATTATAATTGACTGTGAGCTTTTCTTCTTTGCAGCGTCTACCGAAGATACTGCTGGATCTCACACATCTGGAGAGGACATATGAACTCAGGTCAGTTCTATGTATTTGGTACTTTAACCATTATAGTTTGTTAATTTTTTTAAATGTCACCACTCTGTGCAACCATTCCAAATATGCTCACAGCCCTGGGACTTCCTAGCGGTAGCCCGTCCAAGCACTAATCAAGTCGGACCACTTAGCTTTTGACATCAGTTGGACATAATTGAAAATGATGCTTGTTGCTCATCTACCTACAATTCCTAAGTAGAAAAACCCCTGCAGGGGGCTAATCACATAGACCCTATCAGAAAGCAGATTAAAAGATGCACAAGGTACACTTCTTTTATAGAAAAATTATTAGATTAAGGCACTTGCAGGAGTCCCTGTGACAACTGCTTCTGCAAGTTACTGCCTTTTTTTTAAGCAACAAGCGTCAGTCTCCCATCCCAATTTAAGTCAACCATATTTTTCTGGTTTGCTGAAGATCACTCTGAAAACAAACCGTTTCCCAATATGGAAACTTGGCATAGGTTTACTCAGAAAAGCCTCATATGATCTTTTAATTTCAAACTTGTTACAATCCCTTGTGAGGATGTTGGATAGAGCAACAGTGGCTAGGTTCACACATCACACTAAGCAATAAAGTAATGAATCCAACCAACTATGATAGCGAATAATCCAATTCATGGGTCAGCAAGTTGCATGAATCAGCTTGTAAGTGGCCTGTGCAGACTAGAATTCTAAGCTACAAAGCCATGGCTTGTGACATAAAATGGTCAGATTTAAGTGAACTGAGCCTATAGTTTATAATGTTTAGATAAATTCAGACAAAATGTGAGACTGTCAGTAGGTATTGCCTGTAATTGTATAATGCAGCACATTTTATTCTCTATTAAAAAGCTGCTATTTTAAAGTTTCAACTGGAAAATTACCCAATACAGGCTGGGGTTTCCCTATCTTGGGCTAAGCTGGAAGTGTACATGTTGTTTGTACATGTAGATTCTTCTGCCAGATCACAAGTCACACTAAACTTTTAAGAAAGCTGTTATACCCCCCAAATATTTTGCCCAAACCAAATAAAATACAAGGAAACCTTTATTTTTAACTTTATCAAGATTTGTCTTTTTTCCAGCTGTTTCAGAGGACAAGTCCAGTCAGTTTTTGTATTAAAAGGATCTTGATGGAGGTAGCTGTGTCTGTCCTGACGTTTGCTTGCACTCATCTTGGTAAACAAACTGAAAATAAAATTAAAATCAAGGAAGAGTGGGCCAAGGTGATGAGCATTGCAGCCAGGTCTGTGTAACAGATGTGACGCTGCAGCCTCCAGTCACTATATACAGAGTCCATCCAATGTTCCATTTCACCCAAGTGCAATCTAAGTGCAACTGGCAGCTTATGGAAGATTGCACTTCCTCCTTTCTCCAGCCATATCCTCCATCTGAGAGGACATCATCTGATCAGGAGTGCCAGACGGAGGGGATGGGGGTGGGGCCAGAATTGAAACAAGGGTGTATACGTGTCACTTTAGTCGAATCACTGCGTTGATGGCACCAGTCAGGTATTTCACTGCTGCTGAGCCACCTAAGTAGAAAAAAGAAAAAGAATGAAAAACATTTAGTACAGTATACTCCATGCAAAACTCACCCAAATGGAGGCAATTGCCATGGGCCTCCTCCCTCCAGTTTATCCCTAGGGTATGGGGGGGAAAGGCAGGGCTATATGCTTACCTGCTGGGTTGGTGGTGGTGGTGGTGGAGGAGGTTCACTGCTACGATTTGCCAAGCGGCTGAGAATGTTGCGCTCTGACATCTGGAGACGCACAGCCACTGGAGGAATGCGGGCAATTGTGGCAGGTAGCCGTGTCACATCGGCCTTCATGTCGCTCAATAACTCCTCCAGCTGCTTCAGCACTGGAAGAAAAAAGGAAATTCTGGACTTACTTGTAAATGCATTTTCCTTAAGGAAAGGAAGGCAGCTCATTTTGGGAAAGATCTCCTCCAGGGCCAGGAAGGCAACTTCAACTCTGAACTGGAGAAGGAGGGGGCCATTCACCTCACTCCCTAAACACTGATGCTGAGTTTTTGTTTTTTTTTAATCCATCCAATCATGTCCAATTCTCAGAGACTGCCTGCAGTTTTCTTGGCAAGCTTTTTCAGAAGTGGTTTGCCCTTGCCTCCTTCCTAGGGCTGAGAGAGAATGACTGGCCCAAGGTTAACCAGCTGGTTTTGTGCCCAGGCGGGACTAGAACTCACAGTCTCCCAGTTTCTAGCCTGATGCCCTAACCATTACACCAAAGAGTATGCCTGTGACTAAACCATAGTTATAAGTGATAACTAGAGAACATTAGAGAGAGTGACTCCAGCCCTTCTAAATAAAATTATCCCTTCCATGAGAAGCACTATCATACATGTTGGCATAACTGCCCACCTCTAACAGAAACTCACAGGTAAGCTCAGAATTTCCCTCAAGGAGGAGGAGAAGTGGAGGGTGGGGAGCAGCTAGCACTAGACAGTTAAAAAGTGATACATGCTGGGAAACAGGCATTTCCAAGGGGTTTTACAGCCATACATGAAGACACATTATCCAAAACCGTGCAACTCAAATAAATTGAACAAACAGAATTTTATGTTATCTGAGAAGTTATGCCCTAAAGCCAAGAGTTTTTTGAGGGGGATGATGTGTTCTAAGAAAGCTGCATGTAATTTCCCTGTGAATAGTTGTTTGAAAACGGTCTTTTTCAACTTTACTGTCAAGCTGCCATGTAATATCTTTATATCCATGAAGATGGGACAGCAAATTACCGCACCCTACACAAGGCAAAGTTAATCTCAGAACGTGTTAATGAACATTTTGTCTGTGGAAATTGGACAGAACCATCTCTGTAAGACAAAGCAATAAAAACTGACACTGCCCCAAAATAAACAGCGTTAGAAATAACTTTTGAAGTCCAAACTTTCAAAGAGGGAGCCTTTTTAGAGTTCAGTTGGAAACCTAACTTAACCTGTGAAGTCAACACCAGGCAGCAAAATGAGCAGAAGAGTCTCAAGGTAAACAGGAGTTGCAGAAGCTAAATTCTCTGGACTGCTGAATAGAGAAGAGACCTTGAGTCTATACAACAGGACAGCCACAGCAATATCAATTTTTTAAATAATCAGCTGATACTAGCCAATGAAGACTTTGCCCCACATGAAAGTTCAAAAGATATTGAAGTGACTTTGGTTGCTGATCTTTTGAATTTTGATCTTGGAGAGTTAAAAGTAGAAATTAGTTGCCAATAGACAAAGTGCATTTTAGTACTATGGATCCTTCCGCCACTCTGAATTGCTACATATTATGTCTACTGTTGATCTATTGTCTGGATAATCTTTAGGATAAAAGCAATGGAAGGAACAAAGTTAGATCTGAATGTGTGCAGTGCCTGTTTCTTTTTTCTGTATCTTGCATCAAAGCTAAGGACGTTTTTTGGTAAAAGAGGTGGCAAGGACTGTGGTGAGTTCCATGGCATTACCTTGGCAAAGATCCATGGATTCGAGGGCATGGTCTAAAGTATCTACTTGAAAATAGTTGCCATTCTGATGTTCCAACTGTACTGAGCAAGTTTTCCAATGCAGTTTAGCAGGCTTCTATCGAGATACATATAGCTGCAAATATAATAATGCATTTGATCTAAGGCTCAACTGGGCCAGACACCTCTCAATCCTGTATGTATTTTCCTGATCCTTACCATATCTGATGAAGGCCACTGAAACCAGCACTGGTTTTGCTCACCTTGCACAGTGGTTGCTTAATGCACATCTTCCAAGTCAAACAAAGCATTTAGCCAAGAAGAAAGACCTGTAATACCACTTCACTTAGGGAACAAAGATAAGATACATGAAGTTATTCTTAGGAGCTTGGCTGAGCACAGGAGCATGGACAGTATTAAAAATGTGTTGCTAATATGCTTCCAGTTTTGCATCTATTGGTGGGGAAACCTGATTTATAGGCATGCTAGCCCCTAGTTTGAGAAAAAACAGACTGGTCAAGCAAGTAAGTAGAAATAGCAATATCATCTTTGACATTATCGTTAAGATGAACGAATAAGCAGGGTATCCCTCCTCCCACAAGGGGAAAAAAGAATATTGAAGATGGTCTTGGACAGGTATTGGTACAAATCGGTAATATTGGTTTTTAAATGTGAAAGAAGAGTATAGCAATTTATACTTTTAGATAGGAAGGTTATCAAAGATGAGACTGAGAAAAAAAATCATGCAGAGATTTCTGCATGCAGAATTAGCATTTAGCAAGGATAGTGGCTGACAGACTTTGTTTCTTTTTAAAGTATGAAAAAAATAATTTCTTCTTTCTAGAATGGGAATGTTGGTTAGAATGAAGAAAAATATGTACTTTAGCATTCTGGAAAATTCTGTGACATAACTTCTGAAGACTGATTCCTTTACTGGTGATTTTTGTATTTGTTTCAGCTTTAACTAGCAGAATCTTGCAGGAAGCTGGGGAAAGACACAGGCTACCGTGGTGCTTTTAAGTTTGTGAACCTTTTTGAATTTTCAATATTTCTGCATAAATGTGACATAAAGCATTATCTCTTCTCCACAGAAGTCCTAAAACTAGATAAAGAGAACCCAGTTAAACAAATGAGTCGAAACATACTTGTTCATTTATTTATTGAGGAAAATGATTCAAAGCTACATATTTGTGTGTGGCAAAAGTAGGTGAACCTTTGCTTTTAGTAACTGGCGTGCCCCCTTGGGTAGCAATAACTGCAACTAAATGTTTCTGATAACTGTTAATCAGTCCTGCACATCAGCTTGGAGGAATTTTAGCCCATTCCTCCTTACAGAACAGCTTCACCTCAGGGATGCTGGTGAGCTTATTCACATGAACCACCCACTTCAGGTCCTTCCACAACATTTCTATAGGATTAAGGTCAGGACTTTGACTTGGCCATTCCAAAACATTCACTTTCTTTTGCTTTCACCATTCTTTGGTCATATGACTTGTGTATTTTGGGTCATTGTCTTGCTGTGTGACCCACTTTCTCTTGAGCTTCAGTTCACGGACAGATACCCTGACATTTTCTCATAGAATTTGCTGGTACAATTCAGAATTCATAGTTCCATCAATGTTGGCAAGCTATCCTGGTCCAGAGGCAGCAAAGCAGGCCCAAACCATGATACTGCCACCATTAAGTTTCACAGATGGGATAAGGTTCTTATGCTGGAATGTAGTGTCTGCCTTTCACCAAATGCAATGCTTTTCATTCAAGCCCCAAAGTTCTCTTTTGGTCTCATCCGTCCACAGAACATTCTTCCAATAGCCTTCTGGCTTATCTACATGTTCTTTTGCAAACTGTAGACCAACAGCAATGTTACTTTGGGAGAGAAGTGGCTTTCTCCTTGCAACCCTGCCATGTAATTTTGGAAGAGTAGTGGCTTTCTCCTTGCAGCCCTGCCATGCACATCACTGTTGTTCAGTGTTCTCCTGATGGTGGTCTCATGGGCACTGACATTCGCCAATGCAAGAGAGGCCTTTAGTTCCTTAGACGTTATCTTGGGCTTCTTTGAGACCTCCTGAAGTATTACATGCCTTGCTTTTGGTGTGATCTTGGTCGACCACTCCTGGGGAGGGTAACAACGGTGTTGAATTGCCTCCATTTGTACACGATCTGCCTGACAGTGGACCTGTGGAGTCCAAACTCTTTGGAAATAGTTTTGTAACCTTTTCCAGCCTGGTGAGCATCAACCACTGTTTTTCGAAGGTCCTCAGAAATCTCCTTTGTTCGACCCATGCCACACCTCCACATACCTGTGTTGTGAAGATCAGACTTTGATAGTGAGCACTCAGAATTCTGTTCTTTAAATAAGGCAGGACCTCCCACATTCACACCTGATTAGTGTCCCATTGATTGAAATATTTGACTCTAATTTCCCCTTCAAATGAATTGATAATCCTAGAGGTTCAAGTACTTTTGCCACACATAAATATGTAGCTTTGGATCATTTTCCTCAATAAATAAATGAACAAGTATAATGTTTTTGACTCATTTGTTTAATTGGGTTCTCTTTACCTAGTTTTAGGACTTGTGGAGAACAGATCACATTTTAGGTCATATTTATGCAGAAATTTTGAAAACTTGAAAGGGTTCACCAACGTCTTTCCAGAATACTAAGCAGCCATCAGATCTGGGTCTCTTTAAGTCCATTTCTGATGCTGAATGGGCTTACTCGCCATCTTAAGAAAGAAAAGCAGCAAGGTTGGGAAAAAGTATTTTTCTGAGTATATCAGGCACATTTTATAATCTATTACATACTTCTGAAGGTCCCTGAAAAGTCTACAATCCAAGAAAGGAACATTATTTAGAATTGCCTTGAGTATCTATATATCCTATGTTCTCTAATTTCATTAGATAGCCATTCTGAATATGACACTTTTTTCCCCCTTTCTAAATCATTACAGAGCAGACTGTGCCAAAGATGTTTTTAATGCATAGCTCAGAAGTATAATCTTCAGAATAGGTTAGCCTTGGAATTGTGTGTTGTATTAGTGTATCAGAAAATGTTCACAAAAGCAGCAGTATCTTTGAGGTAATGGTTATCACAGAGCTCTTGATTTTGGGGACAGTCCAATCTTGTCTTCAGTAGCTTGTAGGGGTTATTTCTTTTCTTTGCAATCTGCACAGGGTCTTATACACAAACCCAATGCCTTTATTTTTAGGTAGTGACAAAAGAGTGATCTATAGCAGCTATGAGAGGAGCAACCCTCTCATGCTCTACACATTCTTTATGTCTGTACCTATAAGAGGAGGAAGAAAAGAAGAATAGAGAATGAAATCTGGGAAGGTTCTTCCCTGATTTCTGTTGATGTAATATTGTGGGGAAAATAAGCATTTTCACTCCTGTGAAAAAACTTTTGTATTTCAATGGTGTGCTTCTTGTTGCCTTTTGAAAAAGAAATACTCAAGTTGCCTGGATTCACTACAAAGTAAGTAAGTTGGTGCTTTCTCCTTTACCCATTAGCTTCTTGTTCCCTTCTTTAAAAAGACTAATGAATTATCCTAAGCTCAGCACTAAAAACTTCTTTGACTGTAGCTGGGACTTTCTTTATACCAACTATTTCCTAAATGGAAGTGCCACCATAGTATCCTCCCCACCAAATTTAAAACATTGAGAAAAGTAGCCTGTGCGGGAAAGGCACCCCTGTGATGTCTGCAGCCCAAATATATTCTCTGGGGCCATATCTGTTGGAGGGAAATACTCCCCTATAGATCCAATACTAGGGTAAGTTTGCACAAAGGCTAACCTGGAAGTAAATCCATCCCATCTTCTGCTCTGTCTACTTTCTGGAACAAAGTTTTATATTGTTTTGTGCTGTTTTGGATTTGTAAGACCACCAGTTGTTTGGGGAGCTCCTCCTTCTCATTTCAAAACTGGTTTGCCTTCCTGAACTGAAAGAGGGGCTTTTCCCCAGTACTAGCTGCCCTCCTTCCCTTGAGAAAAAGGAAAGGATACATATTTAGAGGTGCATGGAACAATGTGTGTCAAGGGAGTGGGGGGGGAAGGGGTCAGTGGCTCACAATTCAACCCTGCTCTCATTAAGTAATGTCTCCCCACTCCTCACCTTTGTGAAGCACTGCATTGGCTGGGTT